TTTTTTCTTGGTACATAACTTTGTATTTAGACTGCAAAGAGTTCAGTATATGAACTGAGGTGCGGTGGTAAAACAGAGGTGTTCATTTATAAGGGAGTCGGGCACGCTTTCATGAACAGGTCCTCTGAAGGGATTGAGAGAAAGAAAAGGATGGGAATAAATGATGAAAATGCTGAAGCAGTAAGTCAGTTGGCCTGGCTCCGTTTTCGTGCGTGGATGGCCCGTTTCTTATGGGGCTGCTGAATTGATGCTTTCGCGCGTTTAATTAGCTAATGCATAATTATAGAGTAAGCATTTATTCTTAGTCGATATGATCGGTGTGTGTCAGTACTAATGCTTATGGTTGGATATGCCTTTGCTTGTGCTTGTGGAAGCTGGAGTTTGTGGGATATATATTGAATGGTGTCTTCATTCTGTCATGGTTAGGCTTGTAAATGAGCAAAGCTCAAGCTTAGGTGCTCGAGGTCGAGCTCCGCAATTAAATAAACAAGCCTAAAATCAAGCTTGAGCTTGACTTCTTCATTACTAATAACAAGCCGAAGCCGAGTTCGAGCTTTAACGAGTCATCTCAAGTTTTAACGAGTCGAATTATAGAAAATTATATAAAAATTCTCTTTTCGAGCCTTATCTCGATTAGGATCGTTAACCAAACGAGCTTTACATGACTCGAGCTTGAGCCGAATCGAGATGAGCCAGGCTTGTTTAATTAAACAGCACTAGACTCATGGTGCCATAATAGACTCATGGTGGCATAATGAGTTCATGATTTGTTTCTTTAATTGCATTTATTAATTTATGATTTTAAACTATTATCATAGTGAATTGCTTCTTAATTAATTGTAAATTAATCAGTGTAATAAGTATTGAGACTCAAAATGATTTTAAGTAGTTGTTTTGGTAGTTGATTTTGCTATGAAGTCAATAATTGACTTCATAGTGGAGACAACCTTCTATATCAATAAGTAAACCATATCATATTAATATATTAGTGTTATTTAAGTAATCAGAGAATATAAATATTAATATATTAGTGTTATTTAAGTAATTAGAGAATATAGTAAGTTCGTTTATTGTATATAGAATGTTGGCTCTATTATGGAATCAACTGTTGGCTTCATAACAAAACCGATTGGTTAGTATTGTGGTCTTTAAAAAATATTGACTGTTGCAATTTGCTTGTGAAGATTTTCATTGTGTCGTTTGGTTATAAAATAATACTAGTACAACGCCCGTGTATTACACGGGTGCTTGTTAAAAATTATTTTTAAATTTTAAAATTAATGAGAAAAGTTATTTTAAAATTTATTTACTTGTTTACAAAAAATATATATTATTATATACTTTAGAATGATATTTGTTACTTGTTCGACTTACATGTGTTATATTATAGTAATTTTTATAACTTATATCATATAACTACTTGAAATATAAATATATTAATTGATAAAAAAAAAATTTCTATTAAAAAGTAATTTTATTATTGTTATAAAGATAAATATAATGTAATTTTATATACATACAATATGGATGCTAAATCGAAGCTCATCAAGAGATGATTAATTTGATATATTATATATCTAAAACTATAAAAAAATATAAAAGTTACTAGTTTTTAAAATACATTTACAATTACAATTCAGTGGTTATAATAAGAAATGATGTTAAAATGCAATTAATATATGTAACATGACTATAAATAATAAGCATATTTATGGATAATTCGGACTTAATTATTATTGGATTATAATTAAATCAAAATTTATCTAAGCTGAAGCATGTAATTTTGTCACATAAGATTCCGAAACATGCGAGGCTGCCACTTAGGCTCAACATGTTCTGAATTAATATATAAAGAGAATGTTTATTGTTTATAGATGATAATCATGTCTAAAGTTCCAAAAATGTTATTATTAATAGGTGACCAACTCGACACGATTAAAAAAAAAAAAAAAAAATGACAAATCATTCAAACGTGATGATCAAATAGAATAGGATTTCATACTTTAGCATCCTAAGATTGGCTTGGCAACCTTACCACTTTTCAAAATCTTTTCCCAATCAAACCAAAGTATTGCCCTTATCTAATAAAGATCGTGTTTAATTTCTTCATATTTTGCTATCCAAAAAAGTAACCTTAAAAAAATATAAATAAGTAAAAACTCTCTATTGTCATTGTTATTTTATCTGATCCGACCAGTCGTCGATGAATGTAAGATCTGATCAACTTGAAGCCCTGTCTAAAAAGTTCGTCGAACTCCAAGATTCTCACGCTATGTATTGAAATGTTGAGCCAAATAAGTTAGTCATCGATCGATCTATGTATTCGTCAAGATTCTCACGCTATATTTTTTATTGATTTATTTATTTTTGTATTTAAAAGTAAAATTAAAAATATGTATATATTTATGTAGTAAGTATTTACTAGTAAACATAATCTATTACTATATAATTAGGCAACCCACTCACTAAAAATAGTAAATGTTTTAGTGGGTCCTCATTATATTACTATTTATGGAAAGTTAGTTCTAATTTTTTATTATTTTATTAAACGTGCTTCAACCTCCGTTAATTATTTTTTTTTTCATTTTTAATAATATGTTAATAGTAAAAGTGGACCTAAATTTGTTATTACCATTTGTAGATAGGTATTTTAAAATGTTTTGTTTGTTTTGATTTCTCATTAATATAAAAGTAAATTTCTTTTTACATGTACATGATATGTTGAATCACGGTGAATTATTTATGATGTATGTTAAATAATAATTTATATTTAAAGCCTTCCTAAAAATATGAAGATACTAGATAATAATATGATATTTATTTAAATAAAAGAATGGTTCACAAATAAATAAATTGTAAGTATATGTATAGAAAATAATAGTTAATGAATAAGATTACAGTATAAATTATAAAACCAGACAGGTAAGAAATAATATATTCAAGTGTCAAAATACGATTTAAATTACATGATAAATTCAAACAAACTGTAATAAAATGTGGTAAGATAATAAAATAATTTGAGAATTTTCTTACATCTCAACTATATATATTTGTGCATTTAGTACATGATGTTCCAATTAAATCAATTTAGTTACTCAACTTTTCGTTTATCAATAAATTTTGGTCCACATTGTTAGATTTCATTAAAAAAAATAACAATTTTAGAAAAAAAATCGTTAAATTCATGGAAAACTATATAAAAAAAACTATATAAAAAAATCGTTAATACTATGTCAATTTTTTCTATTAATAAAAAAAATCGTTAATATATACTATGTCAATTTATATATATATATATATAGGAATCTACTTTTAGGCTTTTAATTCTGAACTTTACATTGTTGCTTCTCGAGTTACAAATAAAAAGACACAAGATACTGATATAAAATGAGAAATAAAATATACAAATATAAACATTGTATATAGTAATCTATTTTAATTGCATATAAAAATTATTTATTCTATTTATGTTTTCTTATTTCATTTATTTTTAATAGTTCTGTGCATTTGCACGGGCTACGATACTAGTATTATTAAAATGTTGAGGTATGCCTTAATCAATTCACATATAAATTAATTATTTTTATTATTTCAAAGTGATTTTTTACCGTTAACTTACTAACCATTTACAATATTAATTAATTTTTAAAAACTAACAACTCGACCCGACAATTGACTTAGTAGTCCGACAGTTAAATAAACAAAAGTATAATATTATTTAATATATATATATATATTTATTATAAAAGTGTGACGAATCAATTTGTCTAAATATATGTTTTTATTATAAAAGATATAATAAATTAGTCCATTTAACATTAGACAAAACATGTCAAAATAATTTGTGAAAAACCAAATATGTAAGAGCATCTACAACATTGGGTCTAGTATTGTCAATATGACATGTAAATAAACTCAAGTTTTAGATAACATGAATAAAATTATGTAAAATTAATAAAATTCACTCCGATGAGACTAAATTTTTATTTGGGTCTAAAATATATTTAAGGGTAGACTCCGTTTATTTTTTTGGCTGTCACATTAGCAAGACAACCTTTTATTTGCTCTCCAATATTTTTGTAGATTGAGTCTATTTCTTTGTGTAGCATATAATTGTTGTGTGGTTGTACCCAAAGGCCAAAGCATTGCTCTAAGGCGCCGGCTCCATGTGGCCACCATAAGCACGCAAG